CCATATCATAATTGTTGTCAACTTCGCTCATGGCGACTCCATGGCAGTCCACTTGGCCCAGTAGTGGCGATTTTCTAATTGGAAAAATTCAAAGAAAGAGCCATTCAAACTTCAAAAAAACGACCGAAGCACTGGTTGAGGTATGTAGATGACACGTTCGTTGTTTGGAGCCATGGAAAAAAAACAGAACTTCCTAAATCATCTGAATAGTTTTCATCCAAAAATCCAGTTCACCATGCAATTAGAAGAAAACCTCCAAATCCCATTCCTTGATGTTTTAGTCATCAAGGAAGGTAATCAAATAGGCAATAAGGTATACAGGAAGAAAACACACGATACTTACATAATGAATCTAACTATCATCCAAAATAGAAACGAACTATCATCAATATCCTAGTGAACAGAGCTTTGGGAATATGTAAAGAAAAGTACGTCAAAGACGAAATAAAACACAAGCCAACAGCTACGACTGAAAAAACAATCCACGCTACGCATCCAAGGGAGAAGAGAAACACCAGTAAAGTCAACCCCAAGGCACTGTATATCTGCCATAAATAGATGGTGTCACCAACCGAATCGGGAAAATTCTAAAGGACAAATTTAACACCGTTTTCAAACCTGCAAAAAAATATCGGAGTATCTGAGATCAGCAAAAGACAGCAGAGATCTACTCAAATCAGCAGGAATTTACAGGATTCTATGTAACTGTGGTAAAGTCTATATCGGTCTGACGAAAACAAGCATTGATACCTGCCTAGTCGAGCACAAGCGGAGTTACCGACCAAGAAGTCTGCAGTCGCTGAACATGCACTGTCCAACGGGGAACACTGTATCCTGTTCGAAAATACTGAGAGGCTATTCAACAAGAATGTATCAAGAAGCCATAGAAATACACAAACACCAAGAAAACTTCAACAAAAAGGAAGAGAAAAAATATCTACCAAAGATCTGGCACACAGCAGATCCAAAACGAAGGCAAGTCACCCAAATCGCGCAGGAATTACGTGCGAACCCGCCGCGGCAGAAATGAGAGCTCAGTTTCAGTTTATACTGAACGTCAAGAGTACTTCAACCACGCCACTGAAGATGACTTCCGCAGTTGCAGTTGAAACTTTTGGAGATTGTAACCAAAGAAGACCACGGCAAAACCCCTGGAAACTAACCAAAACATTGACACCAGCCGTGAAAGCCTACATTCCTATGTCATCAAAGTTGTTTTTGATGCAATTTTTTTTTTTCAAAATTGTAGAGTACTTTTATATTTGTGAGTTTTGATCAACGGTGAGTCTAGAAAACTGTTGATGTTAGTTTTATGCTCTCAAGTACTATAATTAATAATTATAGATTCACCTATTGGTTTATAATACCTTCAATTGATTTTCTGTGGATAATACCACGACGAACATTGAATGTCATTTGACAAACAGTAGCAGGACTTCACCAAAATCATTCAACTGGTAACCTACATACCGGTTTGGTGGTATTACACCTCATCAGTGCAGGATAAAGCCGTCTGATACCTGACTTATTTCATCGATGCTCCATTGCTTATTTGAAACCTTCGTCTGTGACTGGAGCTGTTTTAACTAAATGAAGTAGTTTAAAGTTTCATCTTGCAAACAAATCCCCAAATAGGGGATACCAAAACTAAACAAAAATAAAATTGGTATGATGGTTGAGTTACAAACACCAAAAAAACAAATATTTCATAAAGAAGTTCAAAAAATTCACCTCTCCCAGCGTTCCTAAACAGTAGGGTATAACAAATGCTTACTGAAAATCATTTATAATTTCGCGGGAAGTACCGCGGTGAACATTGGATCATCTGATACACATTTGTGCAAGTTTCCCTACAGAGGAAATTCTTTCTCATGCAGGAGGTTTTTGAGTTCATCAATCAGAAGGAATTCACTGAAATGATTTGAGTGATCACCTATATACTGGTTTCGAAGTATTATTTCTTCGAACTAGTATTACTCCTTCTGACTTAAACTTCCACAAAAATATCAACCATGTGACCATCGTAAATTATTTGCGTCGACTGCAAAAATAGTTTGACTTGATTATTATATAAAATATTGATAGGATTTTTTCTGTTCAAGGCAACACTTAGAAATTCAGTTTAATACTTTTTCAATAAATTCTGAACAGAAATAAATGATATAATATTTAATTTTTCCATGTTCAAATCTATTACTTTTATTTCAGATTTGTATGATGAAAGTTGTCTTATAGAAAATCCTTACTTCTATGTTGCTGATATGGAATGTTGGCCATGTGAAAATGTTAATACAGTTTTAAATATCACAGAAGTTGAAGATGGGTTGCTCAAGTCTGGATCAGGCACACCGTTCATGATAAAGGTAAATTTTTCAAGAATAAACAAATACCAGGCTGACCATCAAAAACATACTGCGAAGCATAACTTCCAGACCTTTCATTCCCTAAGTGGAAGTGTTATCCCCATAAATTTTTGCAAATGGGAATGAATGTGATAAATTTTAGTGAAGGATGCCACTCAATTGCATCCCTTTGTCCTACCTAGCAACCTTGAAACCAGTCTTTCAAATAATTTCACACTTTTTTGAGTAATATGGTGGAGTACCACCTTGTCAAAATATCACTTCCTCTCCAATGTATGCAGAATCATTCTACATAATATTTGTCAGAGCTGAGTCGGTATCATTTTGGAAAAAGGTACCTATATATCACCTGTTGAATTTCTAGGATGAAAAAAGGACTTGCAAAAGAATTTCCAAAATTCCAGCCCACATATCCAACTTTCACGGTTTTATTTGCGTTCCATGTGAATAACCCTAAGATTGTTATTGGCAATTAACTAACCTTTCAAAAAATATACATTGAATAGAAAATTACCATTTTCTGTCACTGTTCAGTCATAATTTCACAAAGTTGCATGCAACGATAAAAGCTGCTTGGTTCTTGCACTAACCAAATCTTATAATGGAACCTATTTTTTTTTAATATTCGAGGGGCATTTGTGCCATTGTAATTATCTTTCATACTTAACCATTATTTACCTAGACAACTTTTGATAATTTTTGCAGGATACAGTAGCCTACAGCCCCAATGTCACAATTGAGTTAAACTTAGTAAGGAGATGAACGAAATGTTAGACACATTTAAATATCTAGGTGTTTTTGTAGACTGGAGTTTAAATGCAAATATGATATAAAAAATATCTACAAAAACGAGGTTCCTTCGCAGATGATCAAAAGCTATGACTTATAATACTATTATTTTAACCCATCTCCTCATTATTATACAATAGCGTACATTCTGAATCAAAATAAGGTTTGTAATATGAAGGGATATCTTATATCCATTGAAATGATTGCCTACGTATAAATTCATTTTGTATCAAGCTTTCATTTATAAAATAAAATCAGCAAAGGCACCGTTTCTTTAAAAAAAAGTACTTTGAACACAAATATAATACCAGAATATGATATCATGGTATACCATCAATTGAAGACTTAAATGCATACAACAAACAACCAGATTACGTAGAGATCATTAAGTCTCAGTTTGTTTTAATCCAAATTGAAAAAACTGTTGCTTTGAACAGGGATATCTTACAGTAATTAAGTTTTATCTATTAATCATTACTATTAATATATTATATTTATCGATTCTTAACTATATGAGATGTGATTCCTGTATTTTGCTTATTCTATATTTATCGATTCTTGACTATATGAGATGTGATTCCTCTTTTTCACTTTTATGCAATATTCAATTTTGGTTTTTATTCAATTATTAAACAGAAAGAAAGAAAAAAAACTTTATTGTCCAAAGAACAAAGATTTGTTTATAATTACACCAGTCAAGTTCTTCAGAATAGAAAAAAGTCATAATATGGAATAATTAAATTGATGGAACACTTTTTTTGAAAAATGTTTATAAAAGTAACACTTGATAATAATACTTTGATATATGAATAAAAAGTAATTTCCATTTTAGTTAAATCTTTGATCAAAGCATTCATCCAGTGTGTAATCAGCTTCATTGATGTTTTACAACCCCTCTAAAAAGTATAGTTACAGTTGCGGAACAAATACGTACTTGTAGGTGATTAAATATTCTTTTTAGCATTGTATATGATTCACTTTTTTGTTAGGGGACTTTCGGGTATAAGTAATACCAAATATAAAATTATGTCTTGTGTTATACTGTAAACACCCATTTTTTTACAGATAAAATAGGCATTCTCCAATTTTATAAATGCAAGATGTTGAGATATTTGGCTGATAAATAATGGTTTGCAATTTAGCCTTACAACCATATCTCACAGCTATCTTTTGAAGAACAAATATGGAGTTCAGTAAAATCTGCTGTTTTGAGCCGAAAATGTCTTGCACTGACGAGAGGTAATACCTTGAAACCAGTCTGTGGGTGGTCTATTTGATTGATTTCAGCGTGATCCTGTTGCTGGATGAATGAGAAACATCTGGAAGTCTATTCTCTGAGAGCTTACTTGCATAAATGTCTGTCTGATATAATTCAATGTCTATCTTGTTACAGCCGGTCGGTAGCCAGGCGGTTCGACGTGGGTGCTTTGTTCACTCACTCGAATTGACTGTGTTGGTCGGTGGTTCAGGTCCCAGTCTGATCGATCGATTTTCACTTGCTATCGTCCAACCCGTGTTAGGAATCACACGTTAAAAGGTAAGACCTCGTTAATCCTTAGCTCGCACAAGTTTAGACTTCTGAGGGTTGTCGTTCGTAGGGGTGCGACAGCTGGGTAATAGTTAGTTTTTGGAGGTATTTACCATATCGTACTGTGTAGGAACTTTTGGAGAGATGAATGTTCTGAGATTTCATTTCTGAATATTTATTTTTTTATGAGTATGTATTTCACCTCGATACAGTCATTAGTTGGTAATGTTAATAACAGACAACATGTCCGTTCACGAATGGTCAATAACGAAGGCATTGATATTACAGTTGTAAGCCACGTTGCCTCGATGGATATGGATAATATGGTGTTTTGAGTGAGTTGCCCCAAGCATTGTGATTGAGTCATACTATCTTTTTCGGAATTCTTCAGCGACACAAATTGCAGCCTTGCAAAATTTAAATAATACACTCCATGTTTCTTTCTCAGAGGCAATATAGCATGCCAAATTCACACTGGATAACCCTCATAACTAAAAAGTTGGGCAACATTTTTGGGTAACCATATGATTGGAACCATTCTTTTTGGAAGCTATCTGGTAAATCATATAAATTTGCTGAGTTTTCAAGTAATGCCAAGCATTAACAACACCATACAGTTGGATCCTCTATTGCAAAATAAAATAGTTTTTCAACAAGATGGGGCTCGTCCTCATTTCGAGTTATCTGTGACAGTTCCTCGATCATCCTCATCCTCGATCATCGATCATTCCGGTTCGATGGATTGGAATGAGAGATTGTCTGATTTATTTTCACTGGTCTTTTTTCTGTGGGATGGTTGAAATCGAAAGTTTGTAAATGCAACCTACTACTGTGAATAATTAATGGAAAGAACTTACCAGGTGCTGTAGGCTAGTAACACCTGATCTTCAAAATGTAAAGGAGGAAACAGAAACTCGTTTATACTATGTATCATAACTTTTTTTCATATTCACTACATATAGTCTTCGTCCAATATAACGTAATAGAAATTGAAATTTCTATCAAAATGGTGCAGGTTTTCTGTTGGAGAAATTTATTTGCAACAGGTAAAATTAAGCCTTCTACTTCATAGTGAAACACATATTACTACGAAGACTTGAGTAAAAATATAACAAGGAATATTTTTTATTTCAAATCATTCTCTTTAAAATTTCACCAGCCAGTAATGATATTTTCGTGAGTTTATCCATAACAATTATTTCAGACTGACCAGCAAAAAGTCACTCTACAAATACTACAGAAAATGTATGAAAAGAACATGGAGGTAATGGAATCTGAAGCTAGAAGAGTCAAATCCAGTAACTCTTCAATCAGCAGTCTCAAAGATTTATTCTCTAATAGTGAATTGCCCTCCAAAACCCATATCTCGTGGCGTATAACAAAAATGAAACCAGCCAGACTCATAAGACAAATATTTCGCAAGCCATCTTTTTTACCTGATCGTTCAGGTCAAAGTGTTGAAAGATTTCTTATGTTCGACGGAAATGAAGCAGAGCCATATGAGTTACCAAATACAGAATGCAGCTACGTATTTTTGATACAAGCTTCAGGAGAGAGGAGCATTATACTGAAACCGTCTCGGGAATGTGCTAGTAAATGCCGTACTGTGTCAGTTTCACTGAAACCATCTTATGTCTGTGAGTATTCTTAATTCAACATAAACTACCCATATCACTCTCAAATGATTTTTATTTTTTATCTGGAATTGTCAGAAATGAGTAATAACAGTTAATCAGTTTTTTACTTTCCACTATTTGTGCTCAAATGCTCGATATTACTGCTTACTGTTGTCTTCTCCTCACGGATTGGGACAGACTACAGAGGTAAAAACGAAATTAATTAGTGATATTGATATATATCGCTTCAGGACATTGCCTTCTATATGGTAATGAATCGTTACTACTCAAAAACCTATTGAGTAACTAGTAATTTTTGGATTATGTATAAATATTTGGGTGAGGTTTCCTATCAGAGACGAAAAATTTGCTAAAACTGTTTAAAAATCTAACCGAATTGTGCCTGTTTTTGTTGATAATCGTGTTATTGGATATCTCAGTGGTGCCCCTTTCGACTTGAACATGACTGAGGAGCTCAAATGTGAGGTTTGTAAACTTGATATTGATCCGAATACTGCAGATAGTTCCAATGTATATTTTCACCTCAGTTCTGATGAGAATTGTTCATCTATTGCCCCAACTGAGCAACGGGCATTCACTTTACAAAATCGCACACCTTTACTTTTCTGTTAAACATGTAAGGAGGTATTCGAATTTATAATAAATTATTTCTGCCAAATAAATAATTTGAAGAATGAACTCAGAAGTCTTAAAGAGGAAAAAGCTAGTTGAAAACAATTAATAAAATTGAAGCACAGTTCACATTTATCAGCCAAAGAGTAAACAAGTATTTAGCTCCTGCTAGTTATTACACGTGATTATATAAAACATAACCCCGAATACCGAAACAGAGGAATATTACAGTGAAATGGAAATTCTGGATGATGAACAATGGAGAAAAGTGAAACATAAATGAAAACCAAGAAGACATCTAGAAAGTGCATCCAAAAGAAGTCAACCAAATCCAGAAGAAATTCAACGAATTATTTTGGGTTCACCCAACTGTACTGATTCCAATCCCTCAACCTCCACAAAAACAATAGGTAACAGAATTCACTCCAATCCAGAAAGTCAACAGTACAAAAACTTCTCACCGTTAATGAAATATTACCCACAAAAATTACCGGCACAATTTCTTTCTGGCTGCAGATACAGGGTATTCCAGAATAACATTGTGTAACATGTGGAAAAACCTATTTCCCCAGGTCACTGATGAATTAATTGAATCACGAAAAGGATTCATACTCAAAACAAATAATGACTTGAAGAGAGTTACAGATACTCTTGTATTATTCAAGAAGATAAGCAATTTCAGATAAACTCACCCTAATTATATAGCCTTCAACTCAGCATCACAAACATAACCTTCTGAACCTTCTGAATAACAACGACCTTGTGCACAGATTTTGCAGAAGAATAACCTCCAGACAAACCGGAAGACCAACATCTCTTATAAGAAACATGAGTGAATCACTCAATACATTTGAAACGCTACTGAAATACGAATTTTACAAATTTTGATACAATACAGTTTATGCAAGCAAACCTCCCCCTTCAACCCCAAAAACTTGCAACAAATGCCTGTCCTCTCATTCAACAGAATCATGTAACACCCAACCAAAATGTCCCGAATGTCTAGGTTCACTTCCACAGAACCGATGTACCTCCATCTCACCACTAAAATGTACAGAATGTTGTTCTGAGAAACATCAGGCACGGTCATTCAAATGCCCGATGAGACCCACTACATCAATTCCAGGTGTACCTAATATACAAATTAAATCTATCAACCAAAAAATTTCATGAAATACCAGAAGAAAAGAAAAACTGTAGAATTCACCAAGCCCTAACAGTTCATGACTTCACTATCAACTCATAAAGTTGAAGTTTTAGTTGAAGTGTTTGTTGTATTTGAAGTGAAATAAAGTTAAGTTTCAGTGAAGTCAATTATTGGTCCACCACGGGAAAAACGTAACAATACTTTGAAAGATGAAATCAACCATGAACAAATGAAAGACTTTTGTAAAGAATCTTCTGAAACAATTGTAGACTATACACCCAAAACTAAATATAATTTCTGCTCACATGAATTTCCCCCATCCATTGTGAGTTTGATTGAGGAAAAAAAGAAAGATGCATCACATATTGGAACTAAATAGGGAAATTATCCAAATACAAAAAGATGAAAGAAATACTGAAAATATTATAGATAACAGTATTGAATATGAGTTAAACCCACATAATTGCTAAAAAATTAAAAAATCTACAAAGAAAGACACAACTTGATCTTTGACCTCAATCATTATGAAAACGTGAGGAAATGGTACGAAAACTTCTTTTCAAAGATACCCGTCTGAGAAAATAATACATGCAATGTAGAAGAGGAAGAATATTTTGAAATCCTATATAAGAAATAGAATTTCGCTCCAGGGCATGACTTTAACACAAAACATATATTGTAAAGCTGGACTATGAGATTCACAAATATATCATAAAAAAACTATGAATTTTGCCTTAACACGCATCATATTTCTGCCAATTGGAAAATAGGCACAATAATTACAATTCCCAAACCGAACAAGGATCACTCCCTTACAATTACTCTTCTGCCTGTAATTGATAAAAACTTTGAAAAAATTTTATGAAACCGTTTACTCCAACTGCTAAATGATGAAATTCCAAGCTACCAGTCTGTATTCAGGCAAAGAATATCTTCTATACAAAACACAACCCTCTTAACACTCTGCCCACCCCTATTGAGGAAAGACTACTGCTACTTACTCAGATGTTTGCAGGAAAAGACGACAATGTAGAAATCATTACAAAGTATGTTGCGATAAGAAACCCCCATGCAAGAAAGAGTACGACATCGCCACCCAACATTAACAATGTTGGAAAAACTAACATAACTTCATCAATGAAATTGTTTAATTTTTTTCCATAATACCTCAATATATTGTAAAATAAGCTATGTAGTTTCAAAGCAATTTTGTTACACAGGCGGAAGGACTTCGGTTGATAGCCCTTTGAGCAAAATTGTAATTTTGTTCCATAAACTACAATCATTATTTTTAATTTTATTTTTTCGTAATTAATGAACGTATTCTTAGGGACCAATAATGTTAAGTTATATAATGTTGAAGAATACAGGGCTAAGAACAAATCCGATAGGATTAAAAATTATTTAGAGGTTGAAATTTCTGAAGTGGTAAAGCTTATTAGAGTTAGTAAAATTATTGGCAACAAACCCAAGGCTGATAAAAATCATGTTGAGTAACTGTCAAACTGTATTGGGCCTCTTATGTAATAATAACAAACTCAAGAACACACATTATAGAATTGGTGGTGATTAAACACCAACAAATATATTTTAAAAACATAAAAGCTGAATATGATATGGAAATTCAAAATAGCAATAACGATAAACAAATTAAGTACGTAAATGGAGTTCCAGTCAGTATAAAAATCACCAAAAAATTTAAATTTTCTCCATTTACATATTTATTACTACTACTAATACATACATATTTATTACTAATACTACTACTAATTATGTACTAGAACATAATTAGGTGACCTTAAACTTGCAGTTGTCTCATGCGATTATGATATTATTGTCTTGACTGAAAGGTGGTTGAATACCTTTACACATTCGGAAATAAAATTACCTGGATACAACACATTTTGTAAGGACCAGGACCCAACTACATCTAATAAAACTGGGGAAAGAGGAGTACTGATTTTATTGAATACATGTCATTCAACTAAAAAAGGATTGATAATATCAAATACAATAGAGCAGCTAGTGTTACAGTAATGAAGACTTTTTGAATTTATCAATAATTCATAGTGAGTGCAAGTGAATTGCAAGCAGAACATACAGAGTATTTCATGAAAGATATTCACAAGTTCAGAAGCCGAATAATAATGTGATAAATCGTCTATTTAAAAACTGTAGGATGAATGGAACCTTTCATCCAAAAATTGTTCGTATAAAGCTTAGAGTGGATGATGATGGCAACAGCATAACAGTTTCGGGTTTTTTCATGCATTTTCAAGTGCTTCTCTACACGAGGCTCAAAGAAATCTACGTGACAATTTATCGCATTATTAATAAGCACAAATGGCATTCCTATAAATTCTACTGTGTCCAACAGCTGAAAGACTGATTTGCCTCGTAGACTAGAATTCTTTGAATGGTTTCTTATCAAGATTCAAGAGAATGAACATTTCCTTGACAATATCATATGGACAGATGACGCCAAGTTTACAAAGATACAAGGGCGCCAGAAAATGATGATAATTTGAATGCAACAAAATATGAATATTTACTGAGAAATAGAGTTCAAATGATTTTAAAGACCTAGGAGGACAACTCCTCGGGAGGATGTACAATGGGTCACATGTGGCCTAAGTGCGTGGGCTTACACTCACCCTCCCTACTCTACAGATACAGATGATTTAATCGTATTAGGCATTAAAAATAAAGATTACCCTCATCAATATACATCAAAAGTATTTAGATTCTGATGTAGGATCCAAAAAAGTAATAATATATAGGATGTTCTATTTAAAATAACGAAGTTATAACCTACTCCGGTATAACCGGAACTGCCGCCATTTCGAAAGAATTTTATCCAAGTTGCCCCCATAGACTTTAGTATATTGTCAAATTTTCAGATTCTTTCTAATTATAGTTTTCCCACAATCGATCGATGCACTTTCTGGAGATTCACCCTGTTTATGGGATGATTATAAATATTACTATGTATAACCACCGTATAGAAGTATAGATCCCAAAAATTATATTATATACAGGATCATCCATTTGAAAAATCAAAGTAGTAGCTTCTTTATAGTAGAAGCAGCAACGCCGTAACTGAATCAGTTTCAAGTGGTCCTTGAAAATGGCATCAAAACAGAAGCCGAAACGTCGAACAGATGAAAATTACATATGCGGTGCAACCTGGGCGATAGTACATTAAATTCAATGTTATGATCTTCGTTCGGGTTTGAAGGCCGTCGTAGTTTGGAACTGTATCCTAACGTTTCGTCAGCACGAGTGGCTGGCTTCTTCAGAATTCTATTCATCCTGATGGTTCATCGATGACTAGTGATTTCTAGTTCGTAAGCTGTATTTATGTTGACACAGGTTGCCCACTTTTCTAGTTTGTGCGTTGTTATTGGCTAGTGTTATTACCTGTTACATTTCGTTGCGCTGTTACATTGCGTTGCATTGCTGCCACCTTACCTTACGAATAGGTTACCGCTAACCGCGATAACCTATTCGAACATATTGAACAGCGTCCGTAATTTTCATCTACTCGACATTTCAGCTTCTGCCAAAATATATATATTACATTTTCCTATTATCTTTTCCTAAACATCTTTTTAATATTTCAGTGTGGTACAACTGGTGGTACTGGAGACCAATTAGTCTTCCAACAAAGAACTCAAGTGAACCTTCCATAACTTATATCAACTCCTACTGTTGAACTCACAAAAATCCGTCATAATGTTCTATCAACATATTTATCTGAAATAAAAGTCTGATTTTAGCTGACTTTTGTTTTTTTATTCGATCTTTATTCCTGCAGATTTTTCACAAGTACTAACCTAAAATAACATAATCTAACTTAATGGTAAATGAACATTCATACTAAAATGGTATCACAATTTGGGAATGAAAGGAACTAATAATTTTTACACCAATGATATAATAACGTATTCTCAATTTCTAACTGCCATTTACCAATTGTATATTTACAAAAATGTCCAGTTTGATATTTTACAAAGGCTATTTGAAAATATACTTATTTAATACTGACACTGTGGAACCTGCCACATAACCCATTCATGTATTTATAGTGATCTCCAGCGCTAGATTTGAAAGTGCCCCAGACCCATCAGTTAAACATTAAATTCAACCAGATGATTTTTTACAGACTTGGGATATATGCTCTATAATATTGGATGTTCTAGGGCTTTTCTCTCTTCTCATTCAAAGAGTACTGCCTATTCAAATCTGAACAGGGTCTGATCACACATTTCTGATTGTTCAAGTCTCTCAAAGTATCAAGAAATCCTGCATTAACTAATTACAGTTAAATATGAAATGGAAAGCAATCAAAAGTTTCTCATTTTCATTTTTCAGTTATAAGAACTGCCCAGAAATTTATATGTACAGCAATAATTTTATTTTGACAGCTCTCAAGACAGTCCTCAATAGAAAATATGATATTTAAATTTCTTGATAACATTTGGTAACAAACAAATATAAAAAGGAGCACCTAGGGTGTTATTGAATCACCTAAATAAAAAAAAAATCAAATCTGGAATAAATGAAATGATTTCTTCTAAGTATATTGACTCATGTTATGAAACACAAAGCATCGAATTTTCAAAAATCAAGACAATTCTGATATTGATAACATACCTAATATTCTTCAAACCGTACAAAAGCAGGTAAAAATCTTAAACCTTAGAGAATTGTTTTTGTAATTTCAATGAATTCATTAAACATCAAATTGTTTTTGTGAATCTAAAAAATGTAATGTGTTTTTGAGATATGTATAGTTTTGTTAACAATTATACCTTTAATGGCTTATTTTAGTTAATAAAATTTTGAGTAAATTAAAGTCTTTTATCTAGTTATCCAAATCTAGTTTTCACAAAGAAAAATTGCTAGTGTCATTGAAGTTCTCGTTAATGTTCCTTTCCCAGAGGAAATATAGTTTTCCATTGATTTTTCCCAGCGAGCACGTGATGAGTATTGGCATTTTGGAGCAAAGTTTGAGCTAATTTAAAATGTTTTGGGAAAATTGGATAGGCGAGTATTGTCAAAGAAATTAACCATATCCTTATGAACAGTGTACAAGAAAGTGTACGAACAGTGTACGGAAAGTTTGAGTTTTAGGATCATTGCTCTTCAATTGTGAACTTCAAGTCATTCCGTTTTTGAGGTATATTATCGAAGATTCTTATCGATAAGAAACCATTTCATAGTTTTACATTATATTACAAACCATTTCATCGACTTTATTTAAATTTCATTTACTTTCCCTCACTTATGCAGTCAGGTTCCATCACTTGTGATCAAAAAGTAATGAATTAACAATATTCAACAAAACCAAGAATAAATAATTTTTTTCTAAAAACAAACACAGCCTAATCAATCTTCTCTCGAAGCTTGTTCTTTAATAATATCGGAATCAGAGATATCCCACCAAATACTGTTAGCCAAACTAATGTAACAGGACTGAAAGCACCTTCACTGGCTGTTATATCGTGCAAAGTTTGTCCTCCTTGTATAGCTATGAATGAAGGTGGTGCCACTCCTATAAAAGTTCCAAAAGCAAACGGGAAAAGAGGGACTCCAATCACGGGAGCTACCAAGTTGATGAACCAGTTGGGCAAGAACGGCGTGATTCTAAGAAATATCACATAGTTGAGTAGGTTGTCACGGTGCTTATCCACTTTCGCAGCCCACGATTGGGCTCTCTCCGGGAAAAAGTAGAACACTAGTTTTTTTCCCAGCAGCTGCGATAGCATGAAGCACAGAGAGGCTCCAACCATTGAGCAAGTGCATACCAGAATTAAGGCTACTGTGAATGGAAACAGGAATCCAGAGAGTATCGAAAGAAATAAAGAACCTGGAATTGCAAAAGTCTGCAGGCTGTGATAAATGTTGTTAAGGAAAATTTTATAACATTTTTCTTATTAGCTTTTCACCGTTCATTCTTTTTTTACTCCCAATCAACATGATATCATTCTATTTCCGTTTTCTGTAAGGAGAAAGACTTAGCCCACTAATATCTCTAAATGCAAAGTGATGTATTCAAAAAAAAACATACTATACCAGAACATACTGTGTTATCAATGTTTCAATGTTTCAATTCATGACTTTGGGGTCATTTTTACTTCTAAATTCAAAACCCACATCGAAACAGAATGCTGCAGAAGACTTTGTTTTATACTTGGAGCTTTCGATGAATTCAACTACAGTACATATGAGGTGCTATTTAACTAGTATCTTCGTTCTGACTTTTAATACTTTCGTGTTATATGATCATAACGAACCAAAATACCATTCCCATTTTTTTATGAAGTGTTTTGTACCATTTCAAATTTTGATTTTTAATGTGGTTCTAGTTTTAGAAATTCAATGAAAATGGAGTCATGAAAAATTTGAGGATCATCATTGAGAAAAGTTGAAATGGATACAGAAAATTTTACAGATAATTCTGAGTGTATGCTGTTAGAGAATTTGAGGAATAATACATGGTATTGAATACTTTTCACAAAAAAATCATATTTATTGAGAATATGAAAAGTTATTCAAGATTTTTGGGAAAGAAAGTTTTTGGCTTTCTACTACTCCATCTGATACAAAAAAATGGATGAGAGAATCTTCCAAAGAAAGGAAGGAAGTAATCAATTTGAAAATAAGTAACTCTATACATGGATGTGTAGATCATGCAAAGAAGTAACTTTCAGACACAAACTGAAAGAAAGTCCTCCTGAAACAGCTACTTTCATATAAACATTGAATTACACGAAAGAAAAAA